ATGTGGAGAAACTGGAACCTATATACATTGCTGGTGGAATGTAAAATGATGCAATCACTTTGGAAAACAGTTGGGAAGTTCCTCAAAATGTTAAACTTTGAGTCACCATAAGCTCCAGCAATTCCATGTCTAGGTATATATCTAAGAGAGTGAAAGCATATGTTCACACAGAAATTATACTTGAATGTTCACAGTAGCATAACAGCCAGAAAGGGGAAAACCACTCAAATACTCATGAACTGATGAATGAATAAACAAAATGCGGCACATCTAAACAATGGAATATTATTGAGCCATAAAGAATACAGTATACACATGAATGAACTATATGATACATGCTACAACATAAATGAATCCTGAGAACAATATACTAAGTGAAAGAAGCCAGTCTAAAAAGGGCATTTATTGTATGGTTCCATTTATATGCAATATCCAGAATAAGCAAATCCCTAAAAAAAAATTGTGGTTGCCAGGGACTGGGGAAAGACGGGCAGAGGAAGTGATTGCTAATGGATATAGGGTTTTCTTTTTGGAGGAAGATGTTCTGAAATTAGACAGTGGTTATGACTGTAGAACTCTGAATATACTAAAAACCACTTAATTACACACTTTAAAGGAGTGAATATTAATTATGGCATGTGAATTATATCTCAATAAAGCTGTTTTTAAAAGACTGTAAACTAGGCCTCCAAAAAATTGATATATGAAATATGTACACATTCACTAAGGATACTGTATATTCTCTAGCAAATTAACTACAGTTGAAGATAGAAGCAATAAACCACAAAGACTCAGTTTCAATTGTAAAATATGACTGACAGTATGCACCCCATAGAGTGGTTGATGGTTAAAAACCAAGCACTAGCAAGTTTATCACTATATCTGGCACACACTTCAAGCTTCGTTATTACTGAACTTAAGCATAGAGACTTCAAATTATCTATTCTGCACAGAAGCTGCACAATAAGCAGGTTTACATTAGCTAAACCTACTCCATACTTCCGATTTCAAGTTTCATTTATTACTCACTGAGAGCTTGTTACATGCTCAGCAAGAAGATTACAATGATCAGTGTGACACACTTCTGCTCATTGCCTAGTAGTATGACAATAGTGTTTAATAAAATGTTCATATCTATCTAAAACTGGTTGCTCATATCTATCTAAAACTAGTTACCACCTCTGTTCAGCATCCCTCAGAATGGTCAAAATTCAAAAAATAGTAGTATACAAGAGCCCAATGTCCAAGCATTGCATATGCTTTTAGCAATTAGTATACAGTGGGGGAAGAGTTGGAGGAAAAAAGTGTTAACTATCAGGACCTGTTAGACTCCTCACAAAGGATTCAAAAACAGGTGAAATCGGAATAGGGTTGAGTATGTGTACTGCTTAGAACAATTACTATTGGTAATAAGTAGATTCACCTAAGATGAGGGATTTAAACTCATGTTTTAATTTTTTTTTTGAATATTAAAAGAAAGGCAGTGGGGCTTCCTTGGTGGTGCAGTGGTTGGGAATCTGCCTGCCAATGCAGGTGACATGGGTTCGAGCCCTGGTCCAGGAAGACCCCACATGCCACAGAGCAACTAAGCCCGTGCGACACAACTACTGAGCCTGCGCTCTAGAGCTGGTGAGCCACAACTACTGAAGCCTGCATGCCTAGAGCCCGTGCTCTGCAACAAGAGAAGCCACCGCAATGAGGCCCTGCGCACCACAACGATGAGTAGCCCCCATTTGCCACAACTAGGAAAATCCCGTGCACAGCAACGAAGACCCAATGCAGCCAAAAATAAATAAAACAAAAGAAATAATTTTTTTTAAAAATTAAGAAATGCTTAAAAAAAAAAAACCCAAAAACACACTATATAGGGACTGCCCTGGTGGTGCAGTAGTTAAGAATCCATCTGCCAATGCGGGAGACACAGGTTCGAGCCCTGGTCCGAGAAGATCCCACGAGTCACAGAGCAACTAAGCCTGTGCGCCACAACTACTAAGCCTGCACTCTAGAGCCCGCACACCACAACCACTGAAGCCTGCACACCTAGAGCCTGTGCTCTGCAACGAGAAGCCCACGCACTGCAATGAAGAGTAGCCCCCGCTAGCCACAACTAGAGAAAGCCCGGGCGCGGCAACAAAGACCCAACTCAGCCAAAAATAAATAAATAAATTTATTTTTTAAAAAAAAGAAAGTAGGAGGAAAAAGTGCCTTAGAATTAATATGTGGAGTTCATATAAAAAAAAAAAAAAAAAAAAAAAAGAGTCCCGTATGGCTAGAACACAGGGAGTTGCATAAGATGAAATCACAGAAGCACGCAGGAGCTATACAATGCAAGGTCATTTAGGGTCAAAGAAAAAAATTTATATTTCTGGTGCAAGAGAGAAGCCACTGAAGTGTTTTAGCAAGTGAATAAACATGACCTTTAGGAAACTCTGGCTTCTGTGTGGAAAGAAAACAGTAAAGGAGGGCAGAGCCTCATTAGGACACAATGACAATGTCAGTGTGAGGTGATGGTGGGACTGGTGTGGTGACTGAGGAAAAAGTAGTAAACAAATTTGGGTGTGTTTTGGAGACAGAATCAACTGGTCTTAGAGACAGAATAAAAGAGGAAAGAATCAAGATGATTCCCAAGTTTCTCTCAGTTAACTAGGTGGTAAGAGTGACTTACTGAGATAGGAAAGACTGGAGAGAACCAGAATTCAGAGAAAAGAGAAACCAAAACCACCTCCATTGAAGAGAAGCTGGTCTTAGTTTATTCCTTCGAAAGGGAAGATGATGCTTTGAGGATCAAGGTTACAGTTTCCTCTGACACTGTAAACCACTGCCATCTACTGATGCAAACCAAGGATAAACACTTTGGGGGTGATTTCTCTAAGTTTTCAGATACTGAAATAGCTTAAGTAGCACAAAAAATTCTTACAATATCTTAATTTGACAGGCTGAAAGTATATTACCAGACTAAGCTGGAGAACTGGAAAACATACAAAGTCAAAAAGAATGTTGTGCAATATTTAGGTGACCTGCAAGTGCACTGACCACATATATATTTGTGGAAAGACAAACTATCTTCCTGTAATGTTTCCTTCCTCAGTTACTAGCACCATCACTACCCGGGCACCTAAACTAGATATCCTGCCAGTATCTTTGATGCCACACCCTACTTCACATCCACCCCAATATCTATTAAGTTATCAAAACCTGTTGCTTGGCATCTAAACCTGAGGCTCACTTTTCAAACTATACATGGCTGTAATTCCTCGCCCAAGGGAGATTCAGAGTTAATACTTTGGGTTGAGACCTGGTAAAAACTTTTAAGGAGGGTCCCCAGATAATTCTGATGTGCACCCTTGCTTTAAAACTCCTACTTATAAACTCAAACTCTTCCCCTCATTATTCTTAATGCTACAGCCTTCGTTATTGTTTGCTCTCATTAGCTTTTACCTATCTCCAGCCTTCCCATTCTGACCTACTTCCTACATCACCACCAGAATTCCCTAAGTCATTTTTGCTGTAAAATCCATGGTGACAAAATGGTTAAATCTAAATAAGGTCTACAGATTAAAAAACTGGTACAATACTGTTATCTACTTTCAGTAGTTAACTGGAATCATATTAAAAGAATGCTCTAAATTTTATAAAATAATCACTCAAGTATTTAGGAGTAAAGAGGCATCATTTCTGCAACTTACTCTCAAATAGTTCAGACAAAAATGTGTGAATGTATAGATACAGACTGAAAGAGGATAATGCACGTGTGATAACAAACATTTGGAGAATCTGAGTAAAAGCTAAATGGGAACTCTTACTAGTCTTGCAACTTTTAAGTCTGAAATTATGTCAAAATTAAGTTTAAAAAATCCACTGGCCAAAAGACTTCATTCTGAGTTGTACTTTTGTTAACACTATTAAGCAAGCTGTTAGGTCATTTATACAAATTTTGCTGTCCTAAGTAATCAACGTGTGGGTACACAGGCAACACTATTCTTTTTCTGGAAGACCTATGACAAGGTAGTTTACTTTTGTTTTTCTTCTGTTTGTTTTTTCGGCTGTGCCAGGCAGCAAGCGGGATCTAGTTTCCCTGACCAGGGATCGAACCCGGGCCCCCCCGCATTGGGAGGGCAGAGTCTTAACCACTGGACCACCAGGGAAGTCCCGGTAATTTACTTTCAAAGGCCAAAACTGTAGAGCACAGGCCAGGAGACTCAGCACTGAATTCTCATTACAATGAGTAAGACAAAGCACAACTTCCCCACAAGTCAGTGTAAAGGTGTTACTATGAGACAATTCACAAAAAGAAAACAAGTATTCCGAGCTCAGGAGGGTGTGAAAAACCACAATGATTTGAATAACCCAATGTAATAATTCCCCAGCAAAAAGATTACACAGTTCTGACTGGCTCCAGGGGCATTTGGGTTGCCTGAAAACATGGCATTGACCTATAGGAAGGAGGACCTTTTTGAGATCTGTGTAGAGCTCTGGCATTGCAGTGGATTCACTAACTCTTTAAAGCCCAAACCTAGATCCCTGGCTCAGTGTTATGTCAAAGTATTCTTAAGTAGAGCTTTTAAAGTCATGAGATTACCCTTAGCCATCAACTAGGTTTGACCGTTCCAAGACTGACCTATTTGTGCCAAGAACCAAAACAGGAAAAACTATGTAGCCATTAACTAGTATTCTACAAACTGCTCACTACAACTAACTGTCACGTCAAGATTAAGTTCATTATCTCACCAGCACTAGTGTTCCACAATGTACTAAAAGTAATAAGCACAATCATTCAAAACACCTTGTTTTAAAAAAAAAAGATAAACACATCAACATGAAGGGAGGTGCCAAAACACTTCGAAAATTTTACAGAAAACCTGATTCGTTTGGATAGCACTAAAAATCTGTTAACATAATTGATACACGAGCCTAACTTTTAAAACTCTTAAGTATGAGCCTTCAGAAAAGGACTGTATTCAGATATACAACCTAAAATAAAAATGACAAACTCAACTCACCAGCAATTTCTACAATATCACCAGGAACTATGTCTTTAGCTTTAATCCGCTGTACACTCTTCCTGTCTTGTCGATACACTTTGCCCATTTCAGGCTCATACTCCTTAAGGGCTTCGATTGCATTTTCAGCATTTCTTTCCTGTAAAAAAGAAAACAAAAGATAACAGTAGTAAATACAGCCTGCCACTGCCAAGTGTTTCTGGCCCTAGGAATCAAATTTTAGAGTTGTAAACTAAACTTAAAAAGAAAAAACACAGGAGATGCATATTAATGACATATGTAATAAATGATTAACATCTTAAGGTAATAACACTAGGCCCTTATGATTTTGTATTAAAAATGAAAAAATAAGCACCCGAAGAAGGGTAAGGAGATAAAAATCAATGGAAAGCAGTTATTAGAACCTGCTGTCCCTATGCACACTATGCAACATGGCACTCACCTTCAGTTTCACACACTCACATCATTAAATCAATCGTGACCCTCATGAAAGGTGATGGTCTGGGGTTGGACTGCCCAGGCTCAACCCAGGCTTTTGCACTCAAAAGCTATGTGACTGTGGATAACATGACACACAGCTTTATGGCCTACAAAACCAGGACACTAACAGTACCCACCCTCAAGGGTTGTGAGGATATACAAGCTATGTGTAAAATGCTTAGATTGTGTTTTGGTACACAGTGAATGCTTTGAGTGATGAATTAAGAAAATCCAGTTACGTCTCACAAATTCTAAATCTCTCACCAGTACTAAAGACCAATAAGTGGCCGGAAGCACTGCCAGTCACATACCATATTTACCATAATATTATACATGAACATGTCAAGACTTAGTCACACACAATTTTTTTTTTTTTTTTTGCGGTACGCAGGCCTCTCACTGTTGTGGCCTCTCCCATTGCGGAGCACAGGCTCTGGACGCGCAGGCTCAGCGGCCATGGCTCATGGGCCCAGCCGCTCTGCGGCATGTGGGATCTTTCCAGACCGGGGCACGAACCCGTGTCCCCTGCATCGGCAGGCAGACTCTCAACCACTGCACCACCAGGGAAGCCCGACACACAATTTTTATTTCCTAATTTCAAGATGAAAGATGCAGAATTAAAACGAGCCATGTTGGGGAAAAAAAAAGCTAAGGGAAAGTTCCTTTGGGGGGTGGTGGGAGAGTATGTGTGAAATTTGCCTTTTCTCCTTTTAGAAAATAAGCAATTAGGACTTCCCTGGTGGCGCAGTGGTTAAGAATCCACTTGCCAATGCAGGGGACACAGATTTGAGCCCTGGTCCAGAAAGACTCCACATGCCGCAGAGCAACTAAGCCCGTGCACCACAACTACTGAGCCTGCACTCTAGAGCCTGCAAGCCACAAATACTGAGCCCGTGTGCCACAACCATTGAAGCCCTCGCGCCTAGAGCCCGTGCTCTGCAACAAGAGGAGCCACTGCAATGAGAACCCACACTCCACAACGAAGAGTAGCCTCTGCTCACTGCAACTAGAGAAAGTCCGCACTTAGTAACGAAGACCCAACGCAGCCAAAAATAAATATAAAATAAAAAGAAAAAGAAAATAAGCAATTAGAAGGAGCAAATCTACAAAGCACATGCTCAGTTGAGGTTACTCAGTGGACAAAGGAATTCTTTCATTTCTCTCACATCTTTGCCCTCCAATCTAAAGCTCTTCAGTTTAACCTTTATTTGGATAAAATTTATGCTCGATAACATGCAATCTAATTTTTCACACTGTGGTAAGAATTAAGTCCCCAAACCTGCTTAAAGAGAATTTAGATGACACAAAACTGAAAGCTAATGGTATGTGTCTAACTTTTTATGTATGCATTCCTGAGAAAGTACAGGAAACCTTAAATTTGGAAAGTTCATGATAAAAATAATTTAAATCCCACTTCAGGGCTTCCCTGGTGGCCCAGTGGTTGAGAGTCCGCCTGCCAATGCAGGGAACACGGGTTCGTGCCCCGGTCCGGGAAGATCCCACATACCACGGAGCAACTAAGCCCGTGCGCCACAACTACTGGGCCTGCACTCTAGAGCCTGTGAGCCACAACTACTGAGCCCACCCGCCTAGAGCCCGTGCTCTGCAACAAGAGAAGCCACCGCACCTCAACGAAGAGGAGCCCCCACTCACCGCAACTAGAGAAAACCCGCGTGAAGCAACAAAGACCCAACACAGCCAAACATAAATAAATTTATTTAAAAAAAACAAAAACAAACAAACAACAAAAAACAGGTCAGCTTGGGGGAAAAACAAATATACCTAACTTACTATGAACAAAAACTTAGAAGACCTTCTAAGGTTTCCTTTGTTCTAAAAGTTACAACTCCTACCTCCTCCAGTCAAACCTACATAGGTCTAAATGTCATTCCTCAAACACACTTTGTACCTCTCTGCTCATGCCACCCCCTCTCTGGAATATTCTCCCCAGCTTCCACCCACAAAAGTCCTATTTCTTTATAGTTCCCCCAATTGCTTGTCAGCCTTCCTTGATGACACTGATCAGAAATACATGCCCCACCCCTCCCAAATACTACCTTACACTATAATTATAACTTTCATTACTTCCAGAAAGCAAGAACCCTATAGTATTTATTGCTCATACCCTTCTGTATATTATGTAATAGGATATCCATCAAAAATATTACTGTTTTCTTTAAGCTAAGACATCTGAAAGTCCTGTGAAAATTGCTGTAAAATTTTACTTTGGAGCTCAGATCAGCCTGACCCTGGATATAAATCCCAGATACTCTACGTATGTACTATCTGTATGGCCTTTGATAAGTTAATCACTCTGAACTTCTATGTCACATCTGTCCAATGGGAATATCATCTGCCTTACAAAATCACTCTAAGCATGAAATGGGAATATGTATGAGGTATCTACTATGTAACTGACATAAATTAATTTAAAAATGCATATTACTAACTTGAGAAGGACAATCTAATGCTATATATTGTTTCTTTTGCCTAAATTATTCACAAAAAGATCATTTCTATTTAAATAAAAGCAATTTTAAAAAATCAAATGTAGCACAATTAAAATTTTCTTCTAAGTAGGCTTCCTTCTAAATGAGCTCACCACATAAAGGCCTTCATGTTTATTAATAAGATCAGAAGTTTACAATTCCAACAGGATTAAATATGTTTATAAGATGCTTCCACTTTAAGAATGACAGATGCACTCTATTTTAGTCCTGAAAGAGGTGACTACAGCTATCAAACATCTAAAAGATCAATACTTAAAAGATGAATGAGAGGGACTTCCCCGGTGACAGTGATTAAGAATCTGCCTGCCAATGCAGGGGACACGGATTTGATCCCTGGTCCGGGAAGATACCACATGCCGCGGAGTAACTAAGCCAGTGCGCCACAACTACTGAGCCCGCACTCTAGAGCCCCCGAGCCACAACTACGGAAGCCTGTGCTCCGCAACAAGAGAAGCCACCGCACTGCAATGAAGAGTAGCCCCCGCTCACTGCAACTAGAGAAAGCCTGCACACAGCAAAGAAGACCCAACACAGCCACAAATAAAAAGATGAATGTGAAATATTAGTCTGGGTTTGTTAAAATATATCAAAAACAAAAACCTAACAGATCCACAGTCTTATAAAAGTTAAATTCTCAAACTAGCTATCTGCAGAAGACCAATCATGCAAATATGGGGCAGACGTGTGATCCCATTATGTTTCTGTAGTAAAATTAGCTTCCATTCTGTGAATAAGAAAGGCCTGGGTACTGGGCAGTTAAGGGAAAATAGCCAGGAATATGCTCCGAAGGTAAAATTATTTAAGATTTAAACACTTTTTATAGCTAAATACACACACACACACACACACACACACACCCCAACGAGAATAAAAGTTTTTCATAAGCAGCAGCTAGAAAATATAAAGAGAATACTGGTTGTCAAATTTTCTGGTTTTCCTTAAGTAGCTTCTTTATCCACTGTTCTTAATTCCATGCTACCATGAAGGATGAGCAATTTTAACAGCAAAGTATATATGCATGAGGTGTAAAATTTTGCCATTAAATAAATTAATAGATAAAAAAACACATGTAGTTCCACAGATTGTTTTAACACAGTTTAAATCACTTACGTAAATTACCAAAATTTTGCTCTGCAGGAATTTTTGCTTACCTGCCATACACCCACAATTGCATTGGCTACTAATATAAGTAAAATCACAAAGGGTTCTACAAAAGCTGTAATTGTTTCTTCACCTTCTTCAAACCAAGCCAAAACCTAAAAGAGAAATGGCATGCGTTAGAACTGTAATGTGTTCTTACAACCAAAGTGGCTGGCATTAAAGGAATTATTATGATACATAAAATCTCTTTTCTTACCATCCTTAGAAACAAAAGGTAGCAAAATGTAATGACATAAACAACAAGCTTATATCTTGTTCCCAATAATTCTTAAGACTCAAAACTATAAACTTCTTAATAATACCCTTAAGAACTAATTTACTTTTTCATGTAATAATTGGTTTAAAATGCAAAACAAATACTTTTGGGGAACTAAAGCCCATTCATTTTCTGTGTATATTTTTCAAAAGAAATAAAACAAATTCCTGATTTTGTTAAAGCAAAAGGCAATCATGAAACTTTGTTAATTTGGTTAATATTCCCATCAAATAATACCTATGTGGCACAAATTCATAGTAAAAACAACTTAATCATTGACTCAAAATTAGAGTACATAAACTGCTAATGTCCCACGTATTTTCAGTGGTGTTGCTGCAGGTCATTACTGCGAGGTTGTTCTGCAATCAGAAATGTATTTTGAAGGTTATCCTCCATATGCTATCTAGTATAGGAATACAGCTCTTCAGAGATGACATAAATCCAAAAATATTATACCTGGGCACAGAACACTGTCCCAAGAAAAATGAGCAGAGAATTAACTTCTAGCTCACACAAGCCACACTGTACTTTCTAAGTGAGCAACCCTAAGAAGAGAGAATCCAACACAATGAATCTTAAACAACATAGTAAAAGAGGCATCTAAATGGTTAAAAATTTAACAACCAATTTTTGTAGAAAACTGCCAATCCAAACAGGATGTTAAAGGTATCTTATGATACAGTCTGGGAGGTAAGATTTGCCTTTGCCTTTTAACACTGCTTAAAATGTTTGTATATTCCACAATGAAATCTTTTCTTTAAAAGATCTATTCAGTAAACAATGAAAGCACTGTTTCTGATACTTTTTAATATTGTCATATATGATGTATGGCAATAATGAAGCCATCTGACGACTACATTTGTACCTAGTGGAATACTATAAAGTGAGCTTTGACACAAACAGCAAACAACCAGAAAGATGATTAAGGCAAGACCCAACATGAATTTTGCAAGTAAATGAGGGTAACAATGAATTCACAACAAATATCAATTTGTTAGGCAGCTTTGCTCACCACTATACCACCAACAAAAGAAATATCATATCAATTTGAGCAGGAAAAAAACCAGGAGACCCAAGGCCAGGTCCTGAAAGACGCCAATCACCACTGACAGCTAATGAACCAGGGCAAGCAGAACACCAGAATGAATATAAACTGTTCCTGCAAGCTTTCAGCTGGGCATTCCTGGCGTTAAGGCAAGGAATTTGTTAGGCAGCTTTGCTCACCACTATACCACCAACAAAAGAAATATCATATCAATTTGAGCAGGAAAAAAACCAGGAGACCCAAGGCCAGGTCCTGAAAGACGCCAATCACCACTGACAGCTAATGAACCAGGGCAAGCAGAACACCAGAATGAATATAAACTGTTCCTGCAAGCTTTCAGCTGGGAATTCCTGGTGTTAAGGCCAGGCCTAATGGCAGGATGAAAACTTCTCTAGGAAGTTATAAATTTTGATAGATGCAAGATCACAGCTGCTTTGATGCTAGCCTTTCAAACATTTGCCAAGGAGAGCTATCAGAAATAAGAAACTTAATTAGCTCTTGGGGGAGAAAAATTGCTCAACTTGAAGAGTAACTAGGACCTTTAGAAAAGGTCAGTGAGGCATTAGCAACTGTAAGATAAGCTTCACACCTTGTTAAAGCGGGTATGAATTTCCCTCTTGGCAGCTAGGCCTGAGGAACAAACTTAAACCAATATCCCACATAAGCTGGAACAAAGGAAAAGACTAAAGAAAGCAAGCAGTGACAGGACTATCAAAGCAAACCTCTACTTTTCAAATGTGTGGTTCCTTTGCACAAGTGGTATTTATCCATAATGCAATAAGCCTCATCTGTATTATGAAGTAGCCTTTTCTTCCACTATGTGACTTTAAATGTTTATGTGTAAGAAACACAGGCATTCATAGTTATTTGAGGGTCCTGTACAATGTATAATTACTGCCTGATGAGAAACTAGTGGGCAAATCTCTTAGTGTGGAAGGACAGGGCTGAACCTATTTAACACTGACAACTACCAATTTTCTAATATTTAAAAAAATATTTTGAAACCCACAAATAACCCAAAGAATTAAGTGCTACAACTCAAAATAAAGATGAACCGTATTTCATTTACTGCTAAGAATCAATCCAGTCAATCATGTTCAAACCACATGGTGCAGTCCTTCATGGTTTTGTTCTATTGAAAAGAAAACCTCTCTTGTATAAATGGGAAGATGCTGCTGACCGATGGAAGATCCCATGAGATGGGGAAGAGGGTAGTGAAGAGGGAAACTGGATGAGTGACAAATTATTATGTCTTATTAGCATTATAGTACAGTCAGTTCATAATTATGGTTACCAGAAGTTATACAAAATATACAGGGGGCGGAGAGAATGTTTCTAAAAAATCTTTATTGAGAACAGGTTGAATATAAAGGATTATCTGTTTGTATTTCCTTTTGTTGACTATTCTATCCCCAGGGGTCTAGAAGAGTCTCTGGTACATAGCTGATGCTCACTATATATTTATTGAATAAATGCATGAATAAACAAAACAAAATCTCATACAACGTCTAAGGTACAAGTCCCTACCTGGCAGTCTATGAACTTAAACATTAAGAGAGCAAAAGGGTAACCAACCTCATTAACAATATCAAAGGGAAGTGGAAGGAAAAGCTACTGCAGTATAATTTTAGGCATAGTGTTTCTTCTTTCTTTGCTTTGCACTATTAATACAGTAATAGTACTTCTGGGGCTTACAGTATCCAGCTACGGCAAGTTCAAAAGCTTCAAACTTGTCAATCCTATTCAAAGTAAACACTTGCTAGGTTACTTTATTTATTTAAATTTAATTAATTAATTAATTCCCTGACCAGTTATCGAACCTGGGTCCTGGCAGTGAAAGCACAGAGTCCTAACCACTGGGAATTCCCTTGCTAGGTTACTTTAGATAGGGTAGGGTATCCTCTAATTGTTATATGGAAGACTGATCTCTGTATATCACCATAACTTCTGAGAGTACAGCCAAAAGATGCCAGAGAGCAGGGTTTAATGAATTAAGCAAATTTTAATCCAAGGTAAAAAGGGATGTTCTGGTATAAACTAGGAGACAGTCATGGTACCATGACTCGGTTATCTACACATTAGGATAATGTGCAGAGCTCTTAACAAGAACTTAAGAAGAAAATGAGAGATCATAAGCACATTCTTAAGACTGAGGGTCTTAAAACATGTATCAGGTCTGTATTCCTCCTTGTATCCTTAGAAATTTGCAATGCCTTAGGGCACTCAAACATTTGTTCAATGAAGGAAAAAATTTACATCAAGAAATTTAAAAAGAGGAAACAAATAAGAAAGTATCACCAATAAGTGTTATAGCAATTTTCTGAGGTGAGAAACAAAAATTCTTTCAGCCATTATAAAAAGAATAATATGAATTAGACTATAGATTCTCTTGTGAACCGGACATAAAGCTTATGTGAAAACAGTCTTCAATATTTTCAGATTTGAAAATACAATCTTATTTAAAAGAAAACAAAAAACCCCATACACATTCACCTTTCAAACCATATTTTAAAGACAGGCTCTAAATAAATTACTTAAACCAATCAGTAAACTGCCCGTTTTGTCCTTCAAAATAATTAAAAGAAAACACAGGAAAAATTTAAAATCACTACATTATCAAATACTTCTTGAATATATCTTACTGAGAAAACCAAAGTAAACAAATTTCATGTATTTTGAAAATGCTACCAACACAAACTCATCCAAATATTTGTTAACTCAAAAGCACTAACCTGGGACTTCCCTAGTGGTGCAGTGCTAAAGAACCCGCCTACCAATGCAGGGGACACAGGTTCGAGCCCTGGTCCGGGAAGATCCCACATGCCGTGGAGCAACTAAGCCCGTGAGCCACAGCTACTGAGCCTGCGCTCTAGAGCCCATGAGCCACAACTGCTGAGCCCACGCGCCTAGAGCCCGTGCTCTGCAACAAGAGAAGCCACCGCAATGGGAAGCCCGTGCACCACAACGAAGAGTAGCCCCCGCTCGCTGCAACTAGAGAAAGCCCGTGTGCGCAGCAACGAAGACCCAACACAGCCAAAAATAAATAAATAACAAATTAATTAATTAATTAAAGAAAAGAAGCACTAACCTAGGTTCTAAAAGGAATTAAGAATCCCTTCAAAGGTTCCAGTAGGAAGAAAAGACAAATTATTCAAATGTAAATCAAAGTTGAGAAATGCCCTGGTCTAAGAAAGTTGTATTAGCATTTTAGGGTCAATCTAAGTAACTGAGATAGGGAAATGGGGGTGAAGGGTAGAGAAGCTTATGCAAATTGTGTTACCAGAGAGGACTTTATGATTCTGACAGATGAGACAAATATGGTCCTCAAGCTCACTTCCTTCAGGTTAACTGTCACCTTAGACACCTCTCCTGACTGCCCTATTTGAAAACTGCACTCCTTCCACAGGCTCCCCTATTCCGCCACCACCAACCATGTTATTTTTTTCCACAGCACTACCTCCAATCCAACAGTTTATTATATATTTTACTTTTATCTGTCTCCACTAGAATGTCAGCTCCAGGTAAGAGACCATGTATTTCGTTCCATGCTGCATCCCCAGTGTTTGTGCCATGTACCTAAGGTGCTCAATTCCTAACGAAGCAGGGAAGAGAGAAAAGAACAGGCATTCCAATTAAGCAACCATATGATGTGTTATATGAAGGGCAAAGTTGGTGAACAAGGGGAATGGAAAGAAAAAGTGAAAAGGATAGAAAGGTACTGAATGTCAAGTTAAGGAATTTCTAATGTTACGTCACATACAATGGGAGATATATAGCTCACTTCTTCCAACCCAAGTGACACGTTAATTAAACTTTATCTCTACAGGTCACAAGTATAAAACATTAATGCTGTTTCCTACTTTCTGCCAACGCAAAATATTAACTGTGGTTAACAGTTTACTACTTAGATATTTGAAATATATCACTAAAGCCTAGTATTTCTTAACTTGAGCAGAACCTGATGATGTATCACATATACATTATAAAAACTCCCTATCTGCTTCTCCAAAAGAGCATGTATATTCTCCCATTTTTCCTTTTAAACAAATAGGAATGAACTGACTACCACAAAAAACTCAGTGCTCTTTTCAAAGGTAAAGAAATGTGGAATGAAAAGGGTCAAGCATAATGTAGCAGTAGTGATAATCCCACATGAAGAAAATCAACAAGTTTTATATCTGCAATTTCTTGATCAAACAAATCAAAGCAAATTAAGTTACAGTACTTCCTAAACAATAAATGTTTAAACTTTTCTGTTTAGCAACCCATAAAATAAAAATGTAACATAGTTCATTTCCTAAGCAATAACTCCATGTAGTTACCAAAAAGGTAACTCAAATTTCAACTCCAAAATATAGCTCTAAAAAGCTATAAAAAGCCAACATCCTACCTTACAACAAAATTAAAGCTTTTATTTAAAAACCCATTTGAGGGAATTCCCTGGCACTCCAGTGGTTAGGATTCGGGGCTTTCACTGCTGCGGCCGGGTTCATTCCCTGATCGGGGAACTACAGATACTGCAAGCTATGCAGCACAGCCAAAAAATAAAATAGAATAATAATTTTAAAAAACCATTTGAAAATGCCCAGAAGATTTAAGCTCCTTACTTCAAAGTAAAACTCACATCATTATTTCAAAATATTAATATAAAGTCACTCAAACTGGCCACTCAAGAGATCCTATACAACCAAATAGTCAATAGCTTGTCTACTGGAAATAATGCCACCGATGTTACAACACTGCCTTAAGTTACACACACAAAATAACGCAATAAAAATTTATTTTATCTCTTCTTGTATATAGCAGCTGATTAACTTCTAAGAGATCTCCGATGACCTTACTGAAGCCCAGTATTAAAACTACCAAGCTTGAGACTATTTTAAAATTATGTAGCCAGCTTAAACATAAGCATTATACTACCTCAAACACATTATTTGTTTTGTTCCACGACAATGTATTGAAACTAATTAATCAAACAGCTCTGTTCCTTTATCTGAATTGGTAAAGAAGCAGCCACTTACTGAAGGGGAATTTTTTTTAACCAAGAAAAAGAGACACGTATAAGGTATGGAGTGACTAATTCAGCATGCTTAATGATTTGCTATGATACTCTCTTAATTTTATTCAATGAAAACCGTAGAAAACATTCGTGAGGAATTAATTATTAACGGCTACACATCACTTGGCTAACATGGCATGACATATTAAAGTCTCATGGCACAATCTGCATACAGAAACTCCAAAAAAGTTCACCTCTTGCCAATTTTTTCCCTTCACCGAAAGTAAAGAAATGCCCACTGCTTCGTGTATTTAGTTCTCAAAATAGCCCTCTAAGGTAAGGTTGTTAATAAAGACAGAGGTAGATCCCTGAGGCTTGCATGCTTACAAACACACAAAAATGAAACCTTGAAGCTGTGTCAAGTTTGCAAAGCCTGAAACACGTTATTGCACTGAGTGAATTTCACTTCCCATCTTGGTTTTTATAATAAAATACTGTACTTTAAGAACAAAAGGCATCTCATGCTGTTAGGATTAGGAACATCTGTGTCCTATTCATGACCATTTTTAGGAAAACTTCGAAGTCCAATGCCCAAGTAAAAAAATGCAATAAAAAAAAATCAATATTGAACACACAAAAAAAGTTAATAATAACCTAGAATTATCCTTTCCAACCCCCATCACCTTTCTTCTGCTGTTCTTTGCATTTCACTAGTTTCTTAGCAACCATACAGGACTCAAGCTGGTAAGCACAGAGAACATGAAAAAAGTTTTTTTTTTCTTTTAAGATCTAGAACCAATTGTACTAAACCTTGTTCTCTCAACCTAGGAGCCACTCAAGACAGGGGTCCAATTTAGATAAATTTACCACCCTAAAGGTCAGTGACCAAATTTGGTCAACAGTGGTGCCATCACTGCCGTCATCATTCTTGTCACTGTCAGAAACAACTGTCACCTTGCCATTACCAGGAAGGGAGAGCAACTGGAATATTCCTTTTGTAAGTTCTATTTACAGACTACAAAGAGCCCAACATCATCTTAGTATGATCTTACACAACGGAAGAACCCAAAACAGAAAAGGCCTTCCAATAAAGAACTTTTTGATAGTAAAAGCTGATAAACCACAAGAATTTATAAGACCCTGCCTGCCGCATTTGGGAACAATTTCTAACTGCACTGCCAATGTCAGACATCCATTTATTTTCCGTACGCGAATGGCTTTAAATGTTTTATTTATAAATTTAAAATACCTAGGGAATCAAAAAAAAAAAAAAACCCAAAATCCCACACAAAACATTAAGAAACAGCTTAAATCTCCAAATATAATGTTCTCACTCAACAGACATTTGTTTCCTGGTTTTTCATCTATGGTATAGTCTCAACTTTTGGAAAGTAAATTTCTTTATACTTACAAAAGATATACATGCTGCCAACAATAAAATTCTAACTAGTAAGTCTTCAAACTGCTCAATCACAAGTTCCAGCAAGGTTTTTCCTGTTAGAAAGAAACATATCTGTTGTAAATGTCATCCTAAGATCAGCACACAAAGTGGGGGAAGAAACGTGTTAAGATTACTCACCTTCTTCAGCCGGTAACTCTGTAGAATGTAGAAATTCACCAGGCAACGTGCCAAGAGGGGGGGAAAAAAAACATTTTAGCACTCTGTCTTTACAAAAATTACTAAATTATCACTGTCTTTGAAAGACGCACCTAGATATATGAACATTCAACCATATTTAACAGAAACCATACCAAAATGGTACCCCAAGAAAATATGCAGTATTTGTTGTACTGATCTACTCCAAAACGTGAAATCTCATCACCACCTAAGCAAGTCTCCTGAAACAAGGAGTTATTTCAGCTCTGTCATCACTTCTGCCAGATGTGTAACTTTGGGTAGTACAAGAACGGTCAGAGGCATTCTCAACTACAAAGCCTCATAAACCGGGTAGGGACGAGAAAATGTCTCGCAGGACTCAACCCAGATGCAAGAGGCTCATCCCTCCCTCCGCCGGGGCCGGCTGCTGCTGGTGAGAAGCCGCGGAGCTAGCTGCGTGCGGGGAAGGTCAAGGGCTGGAGCCGCGAGGAAGTCGAGAGGAGGCGCAGACCCGACGCCAGAGCCCCCAGCCTGCAAGCCCTCTCCCGCGGGGCCGGCGCGCGGGCTCAACCCGCCGCCTGCAGCCGTAGGCAGGCGCGGAGCCGAAACCCACGAGGTGGAGCTCAGTCAGCCATCTTTCCTGGCTCTCGGGCCCGCGCCTAGCCGCGCGGCGCCGCTACAGCCCCGGCGCCGGGCACCTACCGTTGGAGCCCCATCTCTCCTTGAGCTTCTTGACCTGCTCCAGGCTCAGCCCTGTGCTCTCGTTGACGCCGAAGTGACCCAGCACTTCCTCTACCGTCTTTGTGTGCGCGTTCTCCATGGCTGCGGGGGCCCGGCCGGCCTCGCCTCCAGTCCCCGCGGCCTTCTCGCCTCCGCCTCGCACTCCGGCCGCGGGCTCGTGCCACCCCGGGCGCCCAGGCGCGGACTGGTCTCTCCCCCCTCCTTCTCCTACTCCAGCCGCTTCCGCCTCGCCGGGCGCTAAATCACCCCGCACCCCCTCCCCCAGCAACCGCCCCTCTCGCAGCCCGGCCCTCGCCGGCGCCCGCCCCGGGCACAGCTGGACGGTGCGGGGGGCCTCCCGACCCTCCCTCCCCTCGTCAGAAGGGAGGGCCTCCTTCACCCTCAACCGCCCGCCGGGAGTGCAGGCCGCGGCCCCTAGGTCCCCTCCCCGTTCTCCTGAGGTGATTCTCGGCCCCGCCCGGGCCGGAGGAGGGGGCGCTCGGCCGACCCCTGAGAGCGGAACGGAGCAACGGAGGAGAGCCGGCGGGGTGATGCGCGGCGCGCTCGCCCTGTCCCCTCAGCTCTGCACCCCCGACAGCAGCGGAGGAAACCGCAGCGGAGGGGAAGGAGGTGGCGTCGGGGACGGCTCCGCGGCGTCTGCTCTAATAGCATTTATCCGCCGCTGCCTCCCCTCTCGCCGCCGCCGCGGCATGTGGACGCCGCTCATTGGCCGAGAGGGCCCAGCGCGGCGCGGGAGGCGCGGCCCCGCCCCCTCCCTCAGGCTCCCTCCCTCCCGCGCGACTTGCGCCCACGCGGCCGCGCAAGCCACGCCTCCTCCCGCGAACCGCCCCCAGGAACCCGGATCGAAGCCGGCGTGCCCGCGCCCTGCGCGCTCCGATCGGCTGTTCGGCGGAGAGCCCTCCACCTCTCTTTGGCTAATGCGGATCTCGATTCCCGCCCGGCTCAACCACCTGTAGACGCAGAACCCAGGGAGGTGGAGGGCTCACGTGGGCTCCCTGCACTCGCTGCCCCAAGGGAACTGCTTACCCTTTAGAGTCGGCCTCGGGTTGGGGTGGGTGATTGGGCAGGCGAGGCCGAGGAACCTTACGAACTCGGTCGGCGCAGAGCTTCACCGAACCGCGCTGGGGTTGGTGTCCTTGGCTCGTCCCCTTGCCCTCCACCCCCCAGGGCCGCACTCTGCAACCCAATCTGTGTACTTCAGAGCCCCTCTTAGGAACCGAGGGGAGGAATTCCGCAATTCACTTCCCACACGGCCAAAATCCCTCATCTGTCGCTTTAGGAACACCGCATCCCATATTGTTTTTAATATCCCACACAGCCTTTGATAACATGTCTGTATGGAAGTCACAGATTACGCTACTGTAACTGCTAAATAAGTGAGAGTTGTGCTAGAAGGTGCCTCGCTTGGGCATTGATTAAGGCTATTTTCTAGACTGCCCCTTTCCCCAATAGGGGAAAAAAGGACTTTAATCCAAAAATCTATTCTTAAACCACAGATAATTTGCTCTTGAGGTCTGTAGAAAACCTACCTCAACAAGGACCTACAGTATAGCACAAGGAACTCTTCTCAATATTCTGTAATAACCTAAATGGGAAAAGAATCTGAGAAAAAACATATATATATATATATAACTAAATCACTTAGCTGTACACCTGAAACTAACACAACATTGTAAATCAACTATACTCTAATATAAAAGAAAAAGTAAATTTTAAAAAAAGAAAACCTATATAACAGCAAGATAAAGGGAATTTTGCCAATATAAAAAAATTAGACATCAGAGAAAGGGACCTTCGCATTGAATTCTTGAGCAAAAGGTGAACACGTTCGCATCACAAAGGGCAGTTTTCTTAAGGGACTATGTTGCAGAGTGAAGCATTTAGTCCACTTTTGTGTTTGGCTATGGTGTACCATCCACAGGAGCCAAGGCAGAACAAAAATCACCTCAGTTGTCCCAGATGGCTCAGCTTCAGGACTTAAAGTCCTTTAACAGATGCAAATCACAGTACATTACCTAGCTGAAAAAATCAGGCACGTCATTTTGTCATTTCATTTAATTATTTCCAAGGAGTGGAGGCTGGTATACAGTTTTGATTGATGCTTGGAAAAGGACCAACAAAACCCTACATGAAATAAACAAAAATTCTAGTGTATGGCAATGCACTAAGAGAAGCAAAGTGGAAACTGGTTAGGTCACAGGATTGGAGCCTCTTCCATCAGGGACACGTGGCTGCACGGTGGGGGGGTGGGGGTGGTAATGGAGGGCTGGTGGTTCTTTTCCCCCTCAGACCAGGTCTGCACCACTTCTTTTTTTTTTTCTTTTTTTTGCGGTACGCGGGCCTCTCACCGCTGCGGCCTCTCCCGCTGCGGAGCACAGGCCCCGGACGCGCAGGCTCAGCGGCCATGGCTCATGGGACCAGCCGCTCCGCCGCATGCGGGACTCTCCCGCACCGGGGCACGAACCCGTGTCCCCGGCATCGGCAGGCAGACTCCCAACCACTGCGCCACCAGGGAAGCCCCTGCACCACTTCTTACCAACTCTTCTGCCTCACCCCAGCGAGTGTAAAAGCACTCCAGGCAGGAGGATTGTTACCTTTCTCAGCCTGGAAATTATCTTGAGCATTTGACTTTGGATCTCTATTCTGTGGCTTGGTCTCTGCTTGGGGTTGGAAGTGCTTCTGCTTCTTGAGCTTCTTGGGAGGTTCCTGATGTGTGCTTTTGTACTGAATGCTCTTCCCCAGATCTTCGAGCTCCTTGTTATTGTTCAGATTTCAGCTTACATGTTACCTCCTCAGAGGTGTCTTGACTAAAAGGGCTACCCTCCCCAGTCACCCTCGCTATCACATTATTGTTTTATTTTCTTCACAGCACTTATCTCTGATGTTGTATTTTTTGCTTAGCTGTTTACTGCCTGTCTCCCCCTACTAGGATGTAAGCTCCATGAGAACAGCATGTCTTGTCTAGCTTGTCCATCTTTAGGATATAGGAGTCCCCTGGTATACACTCATCATTTATTGAATGCCTACTATTTGAGTGAATGAGAGACCCCCACCATCCCTGATCTATCAGTGACTTGCAAAGGGTCTGGCTTTGAGAGGACCTCAGCAAATTTTTGCTGAACTCAAGTTTATTGATTTCCAGTGTGTGATGTAAACCAGAAGGCCTCTGAACTACTTGCCTCATGTGAATGGCTGTGAAGGTTAGGTTTAAAATGAACAAACAGGGACTTCCCTGGTGGTCCAGTGGCTAAGACTCAGCACTCCCAATGCAGGGGGCCTGGGTTCAATCCCTGTTCAGGGAACTAGATCCCACATGCTGCAACTAAAGATCCCACATGCGGCACCAAAGTTCCTGCGTGCCGCAACTAAGACCCAGCGCAGACAAATATTAAAAGCAGACAAACAAAAAACAAAGTGAGGCAGCATTATAGGTTTCTCAGAGACAAGTAATGTCTAAGGTCACATTGGTCGTGTTACCAGACTGTTCTTTGCAAATCTATTTCCTGGAGGTTGGAATACAGGTATTCCTCAACGTACCATGGGATTACGGCCGGATAAACCCATCATAAGTTGAAAATATAATTCGAAAATGTATGTAAGACACCTAACCTACTGAGCTTCATAGCTAGGTCTAGCCTACCTTCAACGTGCTCAGCACACATTAGCCTACAGTTGGGCAAAATCATCTAACACAAGACCTATTTTATAATAAAGTACTGAATATCTCATGTAATTTATTTAAAGTGAAAAACAGAATGGTTTTAAGTGTATCAGTGTTTACCCTTGTGATCTGCACAGCTGATTGGGAGCTGCAGCTCGCTGCCGCTGCCCAGCATCTTAAGAGAAGATGGTACTGCGTATTGATAGCCTGGGAAAAGATCAAAATTCAGTTTCTACTGAATGTGTATCGCTTTTGCACCATCTTGAAGTTGAAAAATTGTAGGTCAAACCATCATAAGTCAGGGATGGTCTGTATTCCCTTAAACTGAAACAGTGTGCTTTTCAGCCTGGGATTGGCCCCTTCCGTATCACATACTAAATATGCCCTTGGTTCCTCAACCCATTGGTGTCTCTGAAACCTGTTGTTTATTTATGTATTAATTTATTTTTATAATGGTCACAGTGGTTTTTCTTTTTAAATTGGGGTATAGTTGCTTTACAATGTTCTGTTAGTTTCTGCTGTACAGTGAAGTGAATCAGCTATATGTATACATATATCCCCTCTTTTTTGGATTTGCTTCCCATTTAGGTCACCACAGACCACTGAGTAGAGTTCCCTGTGCTATACAGCAGGTTCTCATTAGTTATCTACTTTATACATATTAGTGTATATATGTCAATCCCAATCTCCCAGTTCATCCCACCCTCCTTCCCCCTGTTGGTGTCCAAACGTTTGTTTTCTACATCTGTGTCTCTATGTTTGCCTTTCAGTGGTTCATCTGTACCATTTTTCTATATTCCACATATATGCAATATATGATATTTGTTTTTCTGACTTACTTCCCCCTGTATGACAGTCTCTAGGTCCACCCACATCTTTATAAATGACCCAATTTCATTCCTTTTTATGGCTGAGTAATATTCCATTGTATATATGTACTACACCTTCTTTATCCATTCATCAGTCGATAGACATTTAGGTTGCTTCCATGACCTGGCTATTGTAAATAGCGCTGCAATGAACATTGGGGTGAAACCTGTTATTTAGAGGTTACCAAAATTTAGCAAAACATAGCCTCCCAAAGGCAGAAAGATTTACTCTTATGTAGAAATAGACTTATGCTCAATGTATTTTATACACATGCTTCTTGTTAATAAGGTTAAACAAAGTAAGAATGGGTTTTAGAAATACAGTTGACCCTTGAACAACACAGGTTTGAACTGTGTGGGTCCACTCCCTTGCACATTTTTTTCTATAATGAATACTGAATTACTGTATGATCTGCCTGTGGTTGGTTGAATCCTTGGATTTGGAACTACAGATGTGGAGGAACTGTGTATGTGGGCCAACTAGGACTTTCAACCTCATGGAGGGTGGGCACCTCTAAGCCCACTGTTGTTCAAGGGTCAACTGTACTC